AAAATCTATGTGACCTTAAATTAGGCAGAGTTCTTACCCACAAACACCAAAAGCATGATCCATAACAGAAAAAAATTGGTAAATCAATCAATTTCTTAAACTTCTGCAGCTCAAAAACATCATTAAGAAAATCCAAGACAAGCCACAGACTGGGAGGAAGTATTTGCAAATTATATTTCGGTAAAGCACTTGTATCTAGAATATATTAAGACTTCTTAGAACTTGGGTGCCTGGATGGCTCAGTTGGTTAAGAGACTGCCTTCAGCTCAGGTCATGATCCTGGAGTCCCAGGATCAAGTCCTGCATCAGGATCCCTGCTCAGCATGGAGTCTGCTTCTCCCTCTGACCCTTCCCTCTCATGCTCTCTCTAAAATAAAAACTTAAAAAAAAAAAATGACTTCTTAGAACTCAAGTAGACAACTCAGTTTTTAAAATGGGCAAAATACTTGAGTAAACATTTCACCAAGTATACTACAGATGGCTTAAGAAGTTCAACATCATTAGTCATCAGAGAAATGCAAATGAAATATTACTTCATAGCCTCTAGAATCACACACAGTACCACATACTGATAAGGGGGCAGAGAAATTAGAGCCTTCATACATTGCTGATGGAATGTAAAATGGTGCAGCCACATTAGAAAATTGCTTGAGTTTCTTAAAAAGTTACACATAATTTATCACGTAATCTATTAACTCCAGGGGCACCTGGGTGGCTCAGTGGGTTAAAGCCTCTGCCTTTGGCACAGGTCATGATCCCAGGGTCCTGGGATCGAGCCCCGCATCGGGCTCTCTGCTCAGGAGGGAGCCTGCTTCCCCCTCTCTGTCTCTGCCTGCCTCTCTGGCTACTTGTGATCTCTGTCAAATAAATAAATAAAATCTTTAAAAAAAAATTTTTTTTTAAAATCCAGCAACTCCACTTGTAGGTATTTCACATAAGAGAAATGGAAATCTAAGTGCATACAGAGACCTCTCACAAGTGTTCACAGCAGCATTATTCAAAGTAGCCCCAAACTGGGAACAACCCAAATATCCATGGTGAATGAATAAACAAAAAGGAGTATATTCACCATGGAGTATTATTCAGTAATAAAAAGGAGCCTGTGCTACATGCTACATGGATGAACTTCAAAAACATGCTAGGTGAAAGAAGCCAGACATGAAGACCAAATATGGTATGATCCCATTTATATGAACAGAAATGTCAACCCCACAAATACAAAAAGATTACTGGTTGCCTGGGACTGAGGGTGGGAATGGGAATTCACTGCAAATGAGATACAGAATCTTGTGGGGATGGAAATGTTTAAAAAATAAAGGATTGTGGTGCTGGTTGCACAACTCTGTCAATTTACTAAAGATCACTGAATTATATGCTTCAAGTGGATGCATTTTATAATAATACCTCAATAAAGTTTTTTTAAAATATGTTGAGCAACCAATAATACATTATATGTTAATAAAAAATAAAAATCCTGGAGCGCCTGGGTGGCTCAGTTAAGTGTCTGACTCTTGGGTTTCAGCTCAGGTCACGATCTCAGGGTCGTGAGATTGAGCCCCAAATGGGAACCTGCTCTGGGCATGGAACCAGCTTAAGATTCTCTCTCCAGGATGCCTGGGTGGCTCAGTCCGTTAATTGCCTGCCTTTGGTTCAGGTCATGATTCCAGGGTCCTGGGACCAAGACCCTGCTTTTCCCTCTGCCTCTTCCCCTGCTTGTGCTCTCTCTCGTGACAAATAAATAAAATCTTCATTTAAAAATGTGCTTACTGGGGCGCCTGGGTGGCTCAGTGGGTTAAAGCCTCTGCCTTCGGCTCAGGTCATGATCCCAGGGTCCTGGGATGGAGCCCCACATCGGGCTCTCTGCTCGGCAGGGAGCCTGCTTCCCCACTCTCTCTCTGCCTGCCTCTCTGCCTACTTGTGATCTCTGTCAAATAAATAAATAAAATCTTTTTAAAAAATAAAATTTTTAAAAAATTTTTAAAAAGTTAGGTGCCTGGCCGACTCAGTAGAGCATCTGACTCTTGATTTCAAGGTTGTTGAGTTATAGCCCCATGTTGGGTATAGAGATTACTTAAAATCTTTACAAAACTAAATAAATAAAGATTTATTTTAAGATACCTTTAATTTAAAAAAAAATAGGCACATGACTGGCTCAGTCAGAAGAGTATGTGACTCTTGATCTTGAGGTCATGAATTGAAACCCCATTCTGGGTGTAGCAATGACTAAAAAAATACTTAAAAAAAAAGTCACTTTACAGTGGAGAAACTTGACAAACACCACCTTCATCAAGTGATCACAGTTGACATCATGAGAAATGGAACAAATCAATACTATGTGCCTCCTGATATGATGCATCGAGAACATTATCATTTCCAGGGTATCCCTACCCAAAAGAACCCTATCAAACTGAAACAAAAGGAAACATCAGACAAACTCAAATTGAGGATTATTCCACAAAATAAATGTCAATGTCCTAAAAATCAAAGAAAAGACTGAGGAACTATTCCCACTTAAAGGGACATGACTGAACATGATACATGATTCAAATTTTAAAAATCATTTTGTGTTTTGTTTTGGGGTTTGTTTTGTTTTGTTGCAATACAGGACATGGAGACAATGTGGATAAGGTGTGTATTAAATCACAGTACTGTATCAATGTTACTATCCAGACTTTGATGACTGGTAAGAGAATGTCCTCATTTTTCCATCACATCCATGATTTACCCTCAAACAGTTCAAGGGGAGAAAATGAACACACACACACACACACAGAAAATACAGATGTGGTGAAATGCATTTGCTGAAAAAAGATATACGGGAATTATTTGTCTTGTTCTTGCAAAATTTCCTATCAATCTGAAATTACGTTAAAATAAGTTAAAAAAGGGGTATGGATGCTATAATTACATAATTAGAATATACTTCCATGAGTAAATATTAGAGACACAAAGAAATAGATATGACAAAATGATAATACAAGGTTTCCAGGTTCGAGCCAGATCACTTACCCTCTTCAGCACTTAGCTTGTTTACAGCCAGAGGACTCGACTGCCAAGAAACAGTCTCTCTCCCCAGCTTATTAGTCTGACAGCAAACAAATCTACCAACACCAGTGCACCTGCCCAACGGATGCTGTGGGCAATGTCCTACATGGCTTCTTTCATCTCAAGGCGTCCCCATATCTTGCCAAAACCATTTCCACACTAAATTTAATTGGTTCTTATTCCCCATTCCCTATTTGCTTTCAGAGACATTCCAGGATTTGAATGGAAGGGTCTTAGTCACAGCGAGCAAGGATATGCACTAAATCTTTCTAAGATCGTGGGAACTTTAGAGTTGTGAGGGAAGGACTGCTTTCCCAAAGTTTCTGAACTGCTTTTCCAAGTGTGGCCTGAGACAGGTAGCATCATCATCTGGGAATCTGTTAGGAATGCAAATGCCTGGGCCCCAACCTGGACCTCCTGAGACAGAATCCATGGTGGGTAGGGTCCCGCAATCAACTCTAGCAAGCGGTCGGACTGATTCTAAGGCTGGCTGAAGTGTGAGGAGCTTGAGGCTACATCCTGTCATTAGACAAATATGGAGGAAAATAGCACTAATCGAGCTGCACTCAAAGATCCCCTCAACCTGAATATTTTAGTATTTCTTGCAAAAGGTACCACTTCTCTTTTTGTAGGAATAAGGGACATACATAAGAACTGAAAGATTTGCAAAGCTGGACCCCTGCCGACACACTAGGTAGAAGTTAGCATGAGTTCAGTACTGTAGCAGCCCACGTGGCCTATCCAGTTCAAAACTGCCTTCGGAAGTCTGCCCCAAGCCCTGGCACACCAGGCTGCTCCCACGATTTCCTAGGGCAAACTTTCTGTACATACCTATTTAAAGACTTTATTTGAGAGAAAGAGAGACAGAGATAGTGACAGAGATAGTAAGCTGGGAGGAAAGAGAGCCTGATGTGGGGCTCCATTCCAAGACCCTGGGATCATGACCTGAGCCAAAGACAGACACTTAACTGAGTAAGCCACCCCAGTGCCCCAAAGGGCTATATTTTTCTTTATTTCTTTTTTCTTTGAGTAAAGCAATAGAAGTGAAGACACAGAAAAAGATCTCAGGAGAGGGGTCCCAAAAGAGTTGTCCGGGGACTTTAGGGTTGGTCTTTAATAGAAAGCTAACTAGGGAACTTAAATCCTTTTAACATCTCTATTGATAATGACTTCAAGGGCTTACTTCCTTTTTAGGGTCTGGTTATTCTGTTGGTCACAGGTCATTATCACAAAGACACTCACCCCACAAGTCTAGGGCAGGGCTATATTTTTCTCTAAATATAAGCCATACAGTTTGTCACAATATTCATATCTGCCATTATGGCTCAAAAGCAGCCACAGAAAATACATAAACCAGTGGGTATGGCTGTGTTCCAGTAAAACTTTTCATCAAATGCAGCAGGCTACATTCGTCCCAAGGGCTCAATGTTTGCTGACCCTTGTCCTGGGGAGACAGAGACCTGGGGTTCTAATCTGACCTGCCCCGGAGAAGACACCCAACCGACAATCTGAGGTACCTCCCTCAGTTTCTAGGCCAGAAACCTCCATATGGAGTCCTGGCCCCTGCCTGGCTTCCAAGGGGTAGGGCCCCATGTAGTGAGGCATGCTTCCTGCATTCTCTCCCTTAAGTGAGGCCTGACCCGGGAATGGGGGCTACAAGGCAGAGAGCAATATGGGCCGGAAACCTTGGCTGAATCCACCAGGCACAGGAAATGGGTTCAGTGCGGCAGCCGAATACTTGTCCCACTTACCTTTTTCTTCAGAGTTATCAGCCGGGCTCACCGTAAAGGCTTTGAAAGTTACACAGTTTATGTGTTAAGATTTTACAAATAGTTAAAAGTTTTCAAGTTTCGATCAAAAAGGCATATATCCCAACATATTCTGATTCAAAAGCAATTTCATCCTTACACAATAAATAAATATTTTTAAAACAGACACACGCAGTTAGGGCAAGGGACTTAATAAGACTTTTTATATTGAATCTAACATGTTGCGTTAGTTCCCAATACATTTCTTGCCTAACAAAAATGGAGGTGTTCTCCCACCAAAAAAGACAGAATTCTAACGTCCTCGTGCTATTTTGTTGCATGTGAGGCTAACCTTGCCATAGTTCGCTTATTTATTAACACTCATAATCCACATCCAAATCCACTTGATTTTTCCAAAACAACAGAAAATTAAAACTCAAACACACACACACACACACACACTCAACTGTGTGGCTTTGAAGTCTTATAGTATGGTGGTGGATTTAACATTCAAAACATTTTATGAAGGAAAAAATAAAAATGAAGTGTTATTTCAATCGATGAATCCACAAGTCTTGGCCTCTCACTGGCAAGCTGCAAGATGTCCTTGAATAAGATCCTGAACACGGGACAGAATAATCTCATTAGAACTGCTGCAATTTTCTGGACCATAGGGCGGGTCTATAGTCAGAACCCCAGCCACACACAGAGTCCTTTGTGAATCTCCCTGTTCTGTGATGGGGATGTGGTTCTTCTCGAGCCATTTCTTTACACTATTCCTTCTCTTCTCCAGATCCTCAGGGCTGTAGGCCTTGCAGTCTCCGGATGTGAACAAATGCATCAGCTTCTCTCTGACTCTGTGGTCCCCTTCGTTCACAGTTTCAACGGTCTGCACAGCATGGCCCATAATTCCAGTCACAGACATGCTGCCGTCTTCCAGGAAGTTCACAAGGACAATACTTGGGCGGAAAAGTTAAGTTCAGCGCAGATTTGCAAAAGAAAAATATAAAGGCCCATAGAACTACGAAAGAAGCAATGGAATAAAGAGGCATCGCCAGCCCCAACAGGCAATTATAAATCGGGAATAAGAACTTCCCTGTTTAAAAATAATCCCCTCACCACCAAATGTTTGTACTCATTCAGTAAGTATTCACTGAGGGTCCTACACGTCTAAACTCTTTTGTCTAGCCTAAAGCCAATCATTGCGGGATGCAGTTAAAGCACTGAAATGTTAGAAATGGCTTAAATGTGTATTGGAAAGGAAGAAAGGGTACAGACTTAATTTTCGAGTTAAACGACTGAATAACCTGGCTTCAAAGGAGACCAAAGAAAATAACAAAGCACACAATTAATGAAATAGAATATAAAAACGTTAATAACATGATCATCAAAGCCAAATGTTGGTTCTTTAAAAAAAAAAACATAAGAATTCACAAAACTCAGACAAGACTGATTAGAACGAGGAAAAAAGACACAAACAGATAATATTAGGAAGAAAGCAGCAAAGATTGGCAATTTAAAGTATTAGGGACAAATTTATGCCAATAGTGCTGAAAACTACAACAGAAAACTTCCTAGAAAATACAAATTTCTACTACTGAGTCAAAAAAAGAATATAAATAGTCCTTTAACCTTTCATAAAAACTAAGTATTTTAAAATATTTTCCCATGGAGGGGGTAAAAAAAGGCCTAGACAGTTTTACCAACAAATTATACAAAAGTTTTCAAGGTTCAAACTTTTTTTTTTAAGATTTTATTTTTTAAGTTATCTCCACACCAAATGTGGGGCTCAAACCCACAATCCTAAGACAAGAGTTGCACGCTCCACCAACTAAGCCAGCCAGGCACCCCAAGGTTCCAACATTTCTAACCTAACCAAATTCTTCTAGAGACTATAAAAGAGAAACTGTACCTTAACTCATTTAACAAGGCTAATATAATCTTGATACAAAAAGCAGAGAAGAGGGTTAAAATATAAAACTACAAGCTAATCTCACTCATGAATACAAATGCAAAAATCCTAACTAAATAAAATATATAATGTGATGTGATGTGAATTTACTTCCTTGGTACTCCTCACCAAACCTAAAATCCCATGCTATTTATGAGAAAGCATCACACAAACTGAAATTGAGAGACACTCTACAAAATACCTCACCAGAACTCCTTAAAAGTGTCAAAGTCATGAAAAACAAGGAATGACTGAAAAATTGTCACAGATCAGAGGGACTAAGGACATGACAATTAAACATAATGTTGGATCCTAGATTGGTCCTGGAACAGAAAAAGGCAAACAATTAGTGGAAAACTGTTAAAATCCAAATGACAGCAGTTTAGTTAATGTAAAGTTTTAGTTTTGAGGAATGTACCATGGTTAGGTAAAATGCCAACATTAGAGGAAGCTGGATAGATGGGTCCTCTCTGTACTCTTTTCTCTAAATCTAAAATCATTTCAAAATTAAAAGTGTGTGTGTATCACTACCTTTAAATCAGTCTTGCATAAAACCAAATCTGATCCTAATCAAATCTCCAGATAGGAATACCAGTTTATAGGAAATATGGAGGATAAAAGAACATGTTAAGCTACACCATGATAATGCAATAAGCTAAATCCAGAATGTGTTCAATTCTATAAGACAAATGATTCTATTTCTTCAACAAATAAATGACAGGGAAAACTAAAAAGAGAAAATGCAGGCATAGATTAAGATACTTAAAAGACCTATCAACCAAACTGATAAATTAAAGAGATATTTGAGACAACCAAGCAAATCTAAAAACAGACTGTTAGTAATGAAGTTATTACTACTTTTGTTAGGTATTATAGTGTTACTGTGGTTATTAAAGAGTCCTTATGTGCCAAAAGATATATTGAGGTATTTACGAACAAAATTATATATCTAGAACTGGCTTACAGATATTTAGAAGGGGAAGGTAAGGCTAGTATCTTCTACACTATTCTCTGTACATTTACGTATGTTTGAGATTTTCTAATCAAATGTAGTAACAAAAAAAGTGTCTCACTTTTACAAACTTGGCTGGTCTGCCAAGGTAATCCATCCTTAGAACAACACTTCAATTCAAAGGCAATACAATTCTTAGGGTGAATAACTAGCCTTTCATTTATCTACTTCCTTAGCTTGGACATAACATAGGCAGCACAAAGGAGCGTCATTAAGATTTCGGGGGTGGGGGGGGCACCTGGGTGGTTCAGTGGGTTAAGCCTCTGCCTTCAGCTCAGGTCATGATCTCAGGGTCTTGGGATCGAGTCCTACATCCGGCTCTCCGCTCAGCAGGGAGCCGGTTTTCTCCCTCTCTCTGCCTACCTCTCTGCCTACTCGTGATCTCTCTCTCTCTCATTCTGTGTCAAATAAAAATCTTAAAAAAAAAAAAAAAAAAAAGATTTCAGGGAAGGAGGACCCATACTCACTTGGCAGAAACTGGGTCTGTGGTTAAAACCCATCCTTTATACTCCTTCCCACTGGCTGTCACTTTGACTTCTTTGTACGTGTAATCTTGCCATTCTAAGGGGCCTTTCCTCATCCATTCGTTCATGGCTGCCAGCTGGCTAGATATAAAACCACCACCAGTTCGGGTTAATATATACGTTCCACTCAAGTAACGGCCATCCTAGAGATAGAGAACCCCTGTGATTTGCCTCAAGCTACAAAGCAGGAAAACAGCGGATATTCACAATTCTGTCTGAAAGCCAAGGAAACACCGAGGCGCCATGGGGCCCAGCCCGAGGTAAGTCCTGCGGCTTACTTCTCTATTGCACCACCCCGGACCATTCCAGATCGCCCTCACTCTGGCTTTGAACTCCGGTCAGCAGAGGCTCAAACCCTTTAACTCTGCTCCCCTGCGATCAGAGGAGCTCACTCCGCACCACTTTTAGCCAAAACTGAAGAAGAAAATTCCTTTGATATCCACCCACTGGCTCTCCAGCTGTTTCCGCTGGATCCCGTCAGGGAGAGGCCCAGGATCTGACAATCTCCTCTTACTTGTTTCGAGGATGCACGAACCACGGGGCAGCAGCAAAGTCTCTAGAGCGCAGATCCCGTTGCCTAGCTTGCAGCTGCGCGATACTTAAAACAGCACTCAAACCTGGTGGTACTTAACGTTTAATCCCCACAAAGGAGAAAAATACCAGCAAGAACTCCCAGCAGCGACCGGTACGCGGCAACCACGAGGTGAGGAAGGAGTCACTCCAGCGGCGCCCCCTGAGCCCAGCATGCTTTGCGCCATGTCGTCACTTCCTTCCCCCAGAATTCTCTGTTTTGTAGTCCTTGGCCTTGGGCACACCTAGAAGTCTGAGACTCACCCGGCGTCTGGGGATAAAGGTCGGGTCCGGGCAGAGCCTGAGGTTTTTGTGTAGTAATAATAAGGTTCCTTGTTCGCTAGAACCACTCCTCGTCACTGTCACGATGGACAGTTCAACAAAAGTCTCGTGCCAAGTTCCTCATTGAGAGTTGACTTGGAAATGTACCCTTGCGGTGGAGTCAAAGCACCAGAACCCTCCAGGTAAATCCTAAAGCTTTAGAAGTGTGAGATGAAAGTGCCTCGGAGAAAGCGATAAAGCCAAGATATTTGTTTGGCTAGTGTAAGGCAATTAATACGTCTGCTCCTTTAGGATGTGCCCTTGCTACATTCCTGCAGGAGGTGCAGAAGCCAGAAAGAAAAAACACAGGATTGGGATGATTTCCACCTAGACCACCACTCACTAGTGAGAGGTGCCTCCCTCACTAGGAAAGCCCCGGCCTTTCCCGAGCAGCCCCTCACCATCCCCGCAATGGAAAAGTCCAAAACACTCGCTTTTGCCACAGATTTCCGTTCAGGTATGTAGTCGGCTCCTGGCATGGTCCAGATAAAGTGTGATCCTGAAAAATGGTATAAAGTGTTAAACGTTGGGTTTTCGCGAATGTGAACGCCAAAGGAGATTTAGGGAAACCGAATTAGAGGACTATCAAACCATGATGTAGAGAACATTGAAAATTAGCTTTTCCCTTACAATTTGGGATTTGAGTTCACATAATCCTTGAAGTACATTGTTTCTTATTGCCATCGTTTCAAATAATCCTTTAGCAACTTTCACTCGTTGATTGGCTGATATTAATGTGGCTTTAGCAGATGAAATTAGATGATGCCAGTTAAGTTCTCCATAAATCTACAAAGAGCTACTGGAGGTGCCTGGATGGCTCCTTCAGAAAAGCATGCAACTCTTGACCCTGAGCTTATGAGTCTGAGCCCCACATTGGGCACAGAGATTACTTCAATAAAAAATGTATAAATACATACATACCAATTGTTAAAGTGTGAAGCTAAACATATGACCTCATAAAAATTCAGTCCAAAAGAGCTTCAGGGTGCCTGGGTGGCTCAGTGGGTTAAGCCGCTGCCTTCGGCTCAGGTCATGATCTCAGGGTCCTGGGATCGAGTCCCACATCGGGCTCTCTGCTCAGCAGGGAGCCTGCTTCCCTCTCTCTCTCTCTGCCTGCCTCTCCGTCTACTTGTGATCTCTCTCTGTCAAATAAATAAATAAAATCTTTAAAAAAAAAAAAAAAGAGCTTCAACCAATTGTTGACAACTGGTCATTTGCATTTTAAGCCTTCTATCTGTACTGCACAAAGACTCTGGAAGCTAGCTTCAAATTTAACTTAAATGACCCCTTTTAAAGTAATGAGACTGGGGCAAATTCCTTCTCTTCTCTCCCCTCTCCCTTTAGTCTCCCAGATAAAGAATCATTTCCAGCATCGGCTGATGTGAATCACTGATTTATAACAGACTGAGCCCAGCCCACTCCCTAATGCAGGTTTACAGAAAGACCCTTTCCTATAGTCCACCCTCAACAAGTTCAGATGGTGCCATTTCCTTTCCCCTGGCAGCCCCTACCCTTGTCCCCCTGGTGCCTCCCTCAGACCGGTTGATGTCCCTTCTCTCACATTTTCTAGTTTTCTTCCTCTCTTCCCCTTCCCTCTCCCTCCATCTCCTTCCTAATATCTGCCCCCCGCGAAACCGTCATACACACACACACACACACACACACACACACAAACCCTTTCCTCTGCCAAGTGCAAAACTGCTTATTCTAGATTTTGGAGTACATTTTCATTTTAGCAAGACATATTGTTTTAAGTAATCTCTACACCCAATTTGGGATTTGAATTCATGACCCTGAGATCAAGAATTGAATGCTCTGGGGCACCTGGTGGCTCAGTGTGTTAACCTCTTCCTTTGGCTCAGGTCATGGTTTTGGAGTCCTGGGATCAAGCCCCACATCAGCTCTCTGCTGGGCAGGGAACCCACTTCTCCCTCTCCCTCTGGCTACTGCTCCCCCTGTTTGTGCTCTCTGTCTCTCTGTGTCAAATAAATGAAATCTTAAGAAAAAAAATTGCATGCTCTCCAACTGAGCCATCCAGGTGTCCCAGCAAGAAACATTGTTTAAAGAACCTTTTCTTAATTTCCCTGAAGAAAATCAGGAGTTAAAAAAGTTGTCAATAGTTTTACCACCTTATCATGATACAAAGATAAACCTGCCCTGCCCTGGACAGACTATCACAATTTTCAATTCACAGTTTTGCGTCATAATAGTAAAAAAGAATATACTTAACATTAAAAAAAGGTAGAAAATGAGTAGGGGTGGGGTAGTAATTTGCTGACTCTATTTCATGCAAGGTAAGGTCAGAAAAAAATTACTGGTCATTTTTTTAAAAGATTTTATTTATTTATTTGACAGACAGAGATCACATGTAGGCAGAGACGCAGGCAGAGAGAGAAGGGGAAGCAGGCTCCCCGCTGAGCAGAGAGCCCAATGTGGGGCTTGATCCCAGGACCTCGAGATCATGACCTGATCCCAAGGCAGAGGCTCAACCCACTGAGCCACCCAGGCACCCCATAACTGGTCATTTTGACCGAAGATTTTTTTTTAATGTTCTGTTTTTTTTTCATTCATTCAATAAGTAGAACCCACTAAAAATGTCCATTCTTTATTTCTGCATTTATTCATCAAGCATACATTGTGTACCTACCCATGCTACACTTTTTGTTAACAGCTAGGAATTCAAAAGCTAATTTTAAAAATGTCTTGCCTCTGGGAAGTTGATAATGTTAACTTTTACCTTGCAATTGGTAAGACATGGTTCCCATGTCTCTTTGTACTTGTAAACAAGTAAGCTATCATTCTACCTAAGGTGGTAATACATGGGAAGGGTTGGGGAACGGGTTCTTAGAAAAGCTTCTTAAAGAGGTAGCCCTTGAACTGGATTATAAGTAATGAACAAACCATAAAAAATTCTGTGTTTATGGAACAGAGAACCTAATCAAAGGAGGTGTAGGTTGGAGTGAAAAGCAGTGGGCAGGAAGTTTTACCAATCTTGGCTTCATTTGGTTAAATCTGTAGCATTCTGGTAAACTGGTTTTCCTGGAAGAAGAAGTCTTGATTTGTACCATTTGCTGATTTCTACATAAATATTCCCACTGTGGTTGATTTCAGAGTACGAATGATTTAACAACAGGCTCAAGAAATCCCTGAATATTTAACAATGGGCTCTTTTACGACAGTTTAAACTGGTTCCTGCACACCACTGTGTTCCTACCGGCTTCATGACTTTGGATGTCATTAGCCCTCTTAGATTTCACTTTCTGCATTTATAAATGAAAATGTGGGATCAGATGACATAACATGCTGTCAGCAATAAATGTTCATGACTAAGCCATACAGTCACTGAGAAGCACTGTAAACCCTCTAAGGGCAGGGGCTGTGTCTGTTTTATTTACTACCATATATCCCACCTCTACCACAGTGCCTGGCATGTAGTAGGTGCTCAATTTGAACTGAATTTTCATTTCTTAGGCAGTTATATATCCCCTAATATGTGCCAGGCACTACTTTAAGAACTTTCAGATATTAACTCATTTTGAGTGAATAACTATACCAAAGAGATTGGAAAAAAATTGAGTAATGGAATAACATGATTAAATCAGTATATTAGAAAGGATGCAGAGAACTAAGAGGTAGAGAAAACAGGGAAGTACAGAGTATATATATACAGCATGAACTTTATGTAAAATGTAGCCTCTCTATCCAAACAAACCAGTGGTATCAGGACAAAAAAATTCCAGAAACACTTTCCAAATGGAAATAGGATTTAGGGAGGCCGTGTCTCTAAATTCATTAGTTATCTCTCTGCCCAGCGCTGCCCAGGCCTGCCTAAAGGGGAGATTTTTACAACCTCAGAGAAAGCTGATTTCCCTAGCAGTAAGGTGAAGATAGAGTTGTTTTCCCTGGATGAAAATGCTTTGAACAGACTTTGTGAACTCTAAAGCACTAAACCCATGTCAGGCATGAAGGTTTAGCAAACTACTTCTGTAATCATTGCTTTTCAAATATGCTCAGCTAATATCTTTATACTGGCTAAAAATCAGTGCCGTTGTTTTCATTGAGTTCCTCTTAGTCAATGACATAATTGGTCTAAGTGGTATGAATATACATGTTTCACATAGATTTTGTTTTGAAAAGAACTAAAGTGGGGTTAACTATTTTTATTTTTCCCTGGAATTGCCTTGGAAAAACAAAAGATGTTGACTACCGAGCTCCTAAAAATTGGTGCAGTAGCCCAGACAGGATATATATATATATATATATATATATATATATATATATACACACAGACACACATATATATATGTATATACGTGTATATATATGTGTGTGTGTGTGTGTGTGTATATATATATATATATATATATATAAAATGTCCAGACAGGACATAATAAAGTCCTAGCCTAAGCTGATGGCAGTGGAAATGAAAAAGGAGGAGAAAAAAGGAGTGGAATTGACAAATATCTCAAAGGAAAAATCAACAGGATTTAGTGATTGATTGGACTGGAGCAAGGGCATGTTGAGATCCTTTAACAGAGCTTCTCTCTGTTCTTTTCTTCATTCATAACCCCCTCTTCCTCTGTTTTTTTTCAGGATCTCAAGCCTCCAAGTAGTTATTATATTTACTAAATTAGATAAGAAATTTCTTCCTGGAATAAAAAAATGCTTCAATAACATTTTGTGTTATGGCACAGGAAGGCCACAGTGAGGTCTCTCCTCCGTGCTCTTATAAACTAACTCTACATGTTAAGTAAAATGGATGTGATTCAATCTGTGATTCATTTGTACAAAGAGAACATCTGTAATCTGGATTACCAGAGAATGTGAGG